AAAAGATGCTAGAGCAGATAGCAACACGTAAAGAAGAAGTAAGGCAGGAAATCAAGGAAACGTTTGAAGAGCTTAAAGCTGCTTTAGATAAGAGATGCAACAATCTACTAATGGAGATAGAAGAGATTGCTAGCGCTAAGAGAAATTCTGTCGAGAAGCAGTTAGACGGGTTTCATAAACTGGTAAAACAGGTTTCTCATGGTCGTCATCTTGCATCATCAGTGAGTGAGCATACTGATCCAGGTGAAGTTCTCAGTGTTAAGAAGCTAATCACCAATCAACTAGAGGAATGCATTAAAGAGTATAAGAAACTACCTCTAGAAATAGAAGAAAATGAAGCAATTGTGACACGCTTTGATACCACTGCCATGAGCAATGAGATTCATAGATTCGGCAGTGTTTTTGAAACTGATCCAGATCTTTATTCCATTGATAGTGGGTTAGCTATTCCATTGGCGACAGTAAAGAAAGAAAGGAAATTCAAAGTGGCTCTACCAGCAGGCATTGATAAAGCAGCAAGCTATTTGAAGGCTTCCTTTATCAAAAGTGATGGTAGTAAAGAGGAGGGTAGAGTTGTTATAGTTAATGATAACAACACAGCCATTGTATCATGCACACCTCAAAGTATTGGTGGATATGAACTATCAGTGACTATAAGAGGTCACCATATTAAAGGTAGTCCACTGTCAGTAAAAGCATCAAGAGACTATACTACTCTAACTAACCAAAAATCTTTTAATGTGGGGAATCTTACTCGTGGTGTTTCTGTTCATACTAGTGGTGACGTATTTGCTAGTAGTATTGATGGGTTTGTTCAGGTATTTAGTGAGGATGGTACTGCAGTAAGAAGGATTGGATCTAAAGGTAATGGTAATGGACAGTTTGACAAACCTTGGGGTTTATTGCTGGTAGGAAACAGGCTCTATGTGTCTGATTATGATCTCAATCGTGTGCAATATTTCTCAGCTACTACTGGTCAGCATATTGGTCAGTTTGGTAGTAAAGGTAATGGAAATGGACAATTCTCTAGTCCTCGTGGTATGTCTACTGATGGTAAAGGTAATATATTAGTAGCTGATGGCAACAACAAAAGAGTACAAGTTTTTAAAGAAGATGGTACATTTGTACAAGTCATACAATGTGATGGTACTGCATCTGATGTAGCAGTTGATAATGAAGGAAAGATACACGTTACCATTTGTCACCAAAATCATGTTCAAGTCTTCTCTCCTGATGGTAAAACTCATCTTGATACATATTCTGGTAACAATAATAAACTTCACTTCCCTCAAGGCATTGCATTCGACGATGATGGATACATATTTATTACAGGAAATTCTGATACCTCCTGTGTCCTGAATCCAGAAAGAAATAAAGTTCATTCATTCAGCAGATTATTAGACCCATCAGATATCACTTTAGATAAGTATGGGCACATTTATATTGCAGACACTAACAATAACCGAATAATGAAATACTAAAAAGTATTATCTTTTAACGTAATTAGTCGCATACTTAATACTTAATAGTCTCTCATACCTTCTTAGAAAAATGAATTTAGTTAAATTTTACTATTATTTTCATTAAAAATTACTATTTTCTCTCTCTCTTTAAAATACTATCTCTCTCGTTGTCAACAAGCTGACTAATAGTTATTATTGTTATGCAAATAAAAGTGTAGAAAAAAATTTCAAAATGCCATTATTATCATTATACTACTAGTATATGCAAATAACTCTATAATACATTATACATAATGATCATAGTTAGATCACTAGGTGAATCAGTACCTGATAATAAACTGGGTCTACTCTCTAGATCTTCCATTTCTATTTGAATTTAAACTAGTTGTTTCTAAATAATCACGTAAATATGCAACTGCTAATGGCTGACGTCTTGACACAATATTAAACAGTGTTGCTGGTACTCCTCCCATATCAACCTATTCAATGTACGTCATGTTTGACTCCACCCACAACCACACCCACCTGTACAAGATACGTGAATTCTGTGAGTAGTTTTTCTTTATAGCGATAAGGTTCAATGACCCACATACTAGTCATGACCTGGTAAAACTTTGTATATTCTAGTAATCTCGTTACATCTCTCTAACCTTTCCTCTTGTGCAGTTTCACATTATATAATACAAGTTCCTCATCACAAATGATTGTATAATCTAAACCAAATTAATACAAATAAATTAATTATTATAGTACAGTATTATACCTGTGCAAACAGTACTTCATTGAAGAGCACATTTTGAGCTGATTTAAGTATCTGCTCCCATGGAGTTAACATCAACTGTTGCTTATGAAGCTCAATGAAACAAGACGGCAACAAAGAATCAAGAGAAACAACCTCTGGAACAAAAACCACATCAACATGTACACATAGATGACATGTACAATCATGTGATAGTCATGTGACATACCATTACCTTTAATAGGTCTGTCTGCTAGGAATATAACTACTTCACTCCTTCCTCTTAATTCTTCAGGTACCACTACTGACAGTATATCATTAGTACCTTCAATTTCTTTATGAACCTCAAACTGAACTGACTAAGCATACAGTGAACCAGCTGCAATAAATAATGATAGTAACGATTCGTCAAAAATGATTAGAGAGAATTCTTCATTTATACTTTTTCCTAATAAATATACATGTTTTATGTTGTGTAGCAAGTTTGAGCTAATACCAAAAAAAAAAGTTTGATTTTATACAAATGTTTGAAGTTACTCAAAAACGAGGCCAAAGTCCCTGTACTATTATAGTACAGTGTCACAAGCCAATTATTGCGAAAAATGAAAATTTAAGTGAGAATTCTCCACTTTTATAATTTGTCCTGATACATATACCTGTTCTTATGTTGTGTAGAAAGTTTGAGTTATTTCCGATCAAATTTGAATTTTTTACAAAATTTTTAAATCGCTCCAAAATCGGGTAAAAATCCCTGTACTACAGTACAGGGTCACGAGCCAATTTTCGCCAAAAATTAAAGGGTGAGAATTCTCCATTTTAATAATTTTTTTATGATGCATATACATGTTCTCATGTTGTGTAGCAAGTTTGAGTTGATTCTGATAAAATTTAATTTTTTTTACAAATTTTTAAAGTTGCTTCATACTATAGTACCCATTACTGTTATACTGTGAGTGTGTTATACTTCATTCCAATTAAGTTACCTGATCTATAGCTGAGGTCTCCACTGACTCCATTAGCTGTTCTACGTAGTATCCATCTTCTTCTTAAATCATATAATGCTCTGTAAAACTTGTGATCAGTTTGACTGGATAATCTCTTGAGTGGCTCAGCTCCATTTCTTAATATCTTGGAAGCTACATCAAGTGCCTACAGAAAAACTCATGAT